CATTGAGCACGCAACCCATTCGCCACCAACCAAAGCGCGTCATGGTACTAGAGACTACGAATGCCAACGACCAGAGAACTGACACAAAGGACAGGCCGAGCTGGTTCATTACACAGAGCTTTGCGGTGCAAGCAATTTCGTGGCAACGTCGTCGTCGCTCCATCGACGGCCAAGCTACCCAGCCCAGTGCGGCTGGCGCGCGTACTCATACCTCGTAGAGTCGTCTTTTTTTGCGCAGTTCACACAGAATGTGTACAGCCGAAGGTGCTGCGGTCGGTACTGTACTGCGCTAATACGATGGCAGCGGCTTCCACGGCAAGCGTGGTCGGCAAATGTTATCGAGCCAAGCTTGTCCAAGAGCTTATCTTTCGAGGCGACAGGCGCACCAGTCGAGTAGCCACGCATGACCGCGTGCCTCAGGAGTAGCCGTGCCACCCACGGCGACAGCCTCGAGTAGCCGCCGCCGGTCGCGCCACCGCCCTCGTCCCAACTCGCAAAAGTGCCAAGCTACTGTACTACAAGGAGAGGACTAGAGTAGAAGTGCATGGGCAAAGAAGAAGTTGTACATTATACGTTGGGGAGCAATGCGGTATACACAATATGTTGTCATAAGAAGTCGTACGTGGCCAACGTCGCACCAACCGAACTGGTCGGTTTAGAAAGCAAAGCCATTGCCCGAGCCGAAAAAGCTGGGCGGCGGCGGCGCGCCCGACGACGCCGCCCGGCGACGGCCCGCGAGGTCGGCTGCAAACGACGCACTCAAGCCGGGCTCCTTCTTGGCCGGGAGTGGGCCCCGTGCGCGGCCAAAGCCGCGCGTGCCGTCGGGGCCGGCCGCTTGCCGAAAGGCCTGCGCGATCGCAGAGTCGACCGCGTCCGGGCTCTTGAGCGGCAAGCGCTGCGGCCGCTGGCCTGACGACGACGACCGGCCGCGCGTAAAGGGCGTCGCAGCGTCGTTGCCCATCGTGCGGGCGCGGCTGCGCTCGCCATTGGCCATGGACGTGTGGTGGTTCTCGTGGCGGGTGGGCGGCGCGGTCGCAGCTGCGTGCACGCTCGGCGGGCGGTACTCGAGCTTGACTTTCGATGCGTATTTGCGTCCGCTCTTCTTGTTTTTGCCGACTGTAAAGGAAACGTAGTCGCCTTGGAAAATGTCAATCGAGCCGTCTTCGTCGGGCACGAGGCGGAAGCTGATCGACGAGCCGTCTTGGCGGGCGGGCGTGATGAGGCCGCCGGCGCCACGGATCGAGTAGACAACGCCCGTGCTCACTTTGCCTTCGCTGAGGTCGTTGAGGCCCTCGCCCACCGACTCGACGTGAATCGGGGCCGACTAGCATCATACACTAAGAACTGAGAAGAAGATTGGGTGAACGGTACCTTGTTGCCGGCGCGGGGCGAGCTCGAGGCCGAGTTGGAGCCGCCGCCGTTCGTCGACTGGAACGCCGCCGCGGCCGACTTGGCGCGGCGTCGGTCGACTTCGACCGGAAACATACGCTGCTTGAGCTTGTCGGTGGTCGTGCCATCAAAGAGCACGACCTGCATGCCCGTGCGCCAGTTGTACTGGTCCGAGAGCGTCAAGACGGCGTGGTTGGCCATCTCGGCGTCGATAAACTCAATGATCGCATACCTACATCGCGGATAAGGTCATGACCACAAGCAACACGTAAGTACGTTTCGCCGGAAATGACGGGCGGCTTGAGCACCGCGTTGCGGCCGGTCGCGCCGTTCTTCTTGAGGAGGCGGAGGTACGTGATTTCGCCGCACGTGCGGAAGGTGTCCTTGAGGCTCGCAATGCTCGCGTCTTCGGCGAGGTTGTACGCAATCGCAGTGCGCGACAGCTTGCCATGGTACGTCTGGTCGTACGGCAGCGGGTCCTTGCGGCACACACTCGCGCCTTCTTCGCTCAAGAGGAGCTTGGTCGAGAGCTCGAGCGCTTGCTGGAGGAGCGCAATGTCGGTCGTGAGCTTCTTGACGCGGCCAAAGGTCGCGAGCAGCTCGAGCTTGACGTAGCCGTGCGCGTTCATGTTCTTCAGCAAGAAGAGGTCGCCGAGGAGGTTGTCGTCGCAAAAGTAAAACTCGAGCTGGTCGCAGATCGTACGCAGAAAGGTCGCGGGCAGCACTGTCGGCAGCGCGTGCGACGGCGAGAGCAAGGGCTCGGCTTCGGGCTGCGCGAGCGGCGGCCCATGCAGCGAGAGGCACGAGATGTCCACATCAATGGGCGTGTGGACCAGCTGCGGCAGCGGCGCCATCATCGAGACGTCCAGCGGCTCCGTGTAGCTCTCCATGGCGATGGTAGGTGGTAGTAGTCTAGTACTGGGGGGTATCGACGGCCTCGGCGCAGAGGCGGTAGATGCGAGTACGGCAACGTAAGAGCAAATGACCGCAGAGACTGCCAGAAGGCTTCTCTTGGCGAATGTATGCAGCATGATACGGACACGTGATTGGCTGATATTCCGACGGCCCTACCCCGCTGGCACCAATGCCATATTTAATGCACACAGAGCATGCTGTATAGCCAAGCCAAGTGCTTTGGTATGGCCATTTTATTTTTTAATTAAATCGGACGCCCGCCACATTGAAGCACGATCCAAGGCGGCGACTGCGGGACGACACCCGCCGCCCGCCACGTTAACCGCCTTCTTTCCTGCACGACGAGGACTAGAAAGTTGCTTGTCATAATGGCGGTCATGGCCGTACCTGGCGATGCTTTTGCCGGCACGAGATGGACCACTTCACAGCACTGTCTATCGTACGGTATACGTCAAGCGAATGCCCAAGAAGGGGCAGCGCTTCAACGGCGTCGTTTGTATACTTCGAGCTGCGAGGTCACAGCAAATAGCAAGGGCACATCATAGAAAGCTTTGGCCCGTGGCAATGCAATAGGAATAAGACCTTATGTTGTTTTGGTGCTAAACGTATGGGCAGTGGAGGCGGTGGTACGCTTGCTGACGACGTGCTGACGACGTGCGCAGCAGCCCACGTCAAGACCGAGCTGGCAGAGGACCTCAGTACGCTTGTAGGGCAGTCGATACGAGTTGATGGCGATGACCACAGCAGAAGATGACGCTGCATGGACAGCGCACGTTCTCGATTCGGCGCGAACGTATGAGACGGTTGAGATAGATTTGGTGCAAAGTGAGACAGTCGTGAGATTGCATGTGGCAAGCCGGATATCCGGATGCACCGGATATGTGGGCGAACTCCACGCGTTCGTTCGCGAGATGGAAAGGCAACGAACGTGCTTGCTATTTCAACGCGTGGTAGATTCCAAATCGACAATAGATAGCCATAATTGTCTAGCAAATGTGTTATAACTAGGCGTCGTCGCGTGCAGTGGCGATGCGGGAATGGACGCGGCAAGGGCGGGAGAAGCGCGGCGAGCGGCAAGCTGGATCGAACGAGTGAATCAGTTGCGAGGGGGATCGGGGTGGTTGCTTCGTAGCCAATGAAGCCAAGCTACTTTTGCTTCAAGTGCAACTGCGGCGCGGCGTTCATTGACGCGTCGTCATTGACAGCGGCGCCGTGGGTGGTTGTGGGCACATGTCGCGCGCCGTCGGCATACAATCGCCCAGTGCGATCTTACTACCGGCAACTGCGACCAGCTAGCTCCCAGCTCCAGCCACACATTTGCAGCCGCGTGGTGATAGAGCTACTCTTCTTCGCACAAGATTCCGACAGAAGGGGCGTCTGGTCCGGCGCCAGGATCAGACGCGCTGGCTCAAACCCGCGGGTCGGATCAGACGCCACGACCGAGCCAAACACATAACATCAAGCAACGACGATAGCTCAGCGATTCGAGCACCAATAACCAACGAGCTAGGCCGAGGCGCGAGACGTGGAGGGCAGTCTACGGCCTCTCAGTTTCATATCTTGCGCAATTCTATGTGGTCATACATTCCCTGATTTTACGAAAGCTGCCGACCGCGTCTCTCGGTCAAATGACACTGCCTATCTTGTGCTAGGACTGGCGCGTTGGACGTCGACTAGACAAAGCATACGATTTCTGCATCCGACACTACCGCGCAAACGTCGCGGGGTAGGGTCCGTCAACGGAAACGTCACAGGTCCCTTTAAGGACGCGAGGACTAGAAGCTCCAATTGTCTTTAGTAAAGAGCTATATAAATTTGAATCACTGTGGGTCGACACTGCCGTAGGCGACTGAATGGGCGCCATGCCAAATCGAGCTGCGCTCAGGTCGCCCGTTCGTCGAGCACGGTGTGTGCGTGGGCCACCACGCGCATATCGTGTGGTATATCTGGGATACCGTGCTAGTTAAAGGACTACATGACAATCCACCCGCACAGCTCATGTTCTGGGAACATAGGCGGCTGTATCCTAAGCCTAGTGATAGATCCTGTCTGCTGAAGATCCTGGAAGGATCTTCATGCCAAATGTTCCATTGTCAACCCACGGCGGAATGTTCTGGATATAGTAGTATGGGCATTAGTAGGGAAGTGGACTGCAGCCACTCCCTGCCCGTTGTCAGTAGACTGAGTCCTAGTGGCTCACTTCAGCATTCGCTTTGTATCCAACACGTTTGGCTTATTGAGGACTAGCCGCCTCCTATTGTCGTGCCTCTCATTGGATCGTGTTGAAGTTCGCTTGCTTGCTCGCTTGCTATCTCGGAGTACAGCACATATCGTCTGTCATCCTGCAGACGCTTCATTGTGATAGAGCATACCACATTAGAATCAAGCCCACGGCGGAGGCTGTAATGCCGCTCAATGCGGCCGTATACCTCGGCTCGGTCCGTAACGATGGAAGACCCGAGGGAGTCGCGTTGCCATTGTGAAGACCCTCGGACGAGGACGGTTCGCCTCTGATCTTGGCTGCCTACCATCATCTGCGTGTTGTGTGTCGTGCGACCACATACGTGAGCACACGGGGGCATTGAAATGGAGAAGGACACTTCTCAATTTGACACGGGTGTTCCGCTGACCCTCCCACGATTTGGCGTGCTTACATGTAGAGTTCGTCCTGCCAAAGGAGGCGTAAGCGACGATCATAGCAGGTTGTATAGTATAAAACTGCTTTGACTCGTCGTTGTCAATATAGCAAGAGCTAACCTTGACGGTACCGATGCCAACGCCAATGAGAGAGCGAAGAAAGGGACGACACAACGGGGCTCGAACCCTGTACCTTGAGAAATGCGAAGCAGGAAGCCACCGTCTAGACCAAAGGTGGTCAACGCATGCTATCCGCATCTGGACAAACGCCATCAAAATCGCTCTACTAGTATCCAACGCACGACACTCTGTACATCCATGACAAGAGGGCGGTCGTGCCACAAAATCGTCGTCGACAAAAAATGGAAAAATCAAAAATCGACAAGATGTGCTCGATTAACTCGCATAGACGCGGAGGGCGGTGCCAATAAAGATCATACACGTGCCGGCGGCCAGAATGCACATGTTGCGGCGGCCTTCAATCTCCTTAAAGTAAACCGCCGACCAGAGCATCGACACCATCGCGGGGCCGATGGCCGTGAGTGGATAGACAAGATCAAAGCCGAGGTTGCCGGCCGAGAGGAGCTGGCCCGCGAGGCCTGTCGCCCAGAGCAAGCCCGAGACGTACGCCGGGCGGAGCGCGCTGCGGGGCATGCGGCGCTTCCGGATGCGATGCACGGTCGAGTAGAGGAGGAACGCGATCGTCGACGTGATGTAGATGCCCATGCATTGCGAAAACAAAAAGTTGAGCGGGTCGCAGTCCTTCCCGGCTTGGTTGCACGCTTGCTGCCAGAGCACATAGGGCGTGAGGCAGTTGCCGAGGAGACACCCGACAAAGAGCGCCAGCGCAATGCCCACGACGCGGCGCTTCTTCTCGTCCGAGCCATCTTCGACCACTTCGACGCGTTCGTTTGGAATCGTGAATGGACCATAGTTGGGCAGTTCCGGGTGCATGAGCGACTGGGCGAGCGACTCGCGGCGCAGCGCCGGCACGTCCAGATCAAGCGCCGACGACGTCGACGACGCCGGCGACGACTTGTCGATCAACGGCTTGGCTTCGGTCGAGCTTTGGTTTTCGAGCTGGACCGATGCGGACGACGAGAGCGTTGGCTGGATCTTGCCGTACACAAGGATCGAGCCGATCATGAAGAGGATCCCGAGCTCCGAGATGCGCGGGTACGTCGGGATCGTCGGATCGACGCCAAAGAGCCCTATACGATCTTAGTGGTCAAGTGCAAACTCAACTTTTGCGCGCCTACCGTAGCGCGACACGACGTAACCCATGGTGATGTTGGCGCCGTTCCAGAGCATAAAGCCGACGCCGAGACCGAGCGTGTTGACAACGGTCGGGATCAACAGGTTGGCGATCGCAAAGAGGCAGCCGCCAAGGAGTCCACCGGGAAACATAAACATCCCTATCGCACACGGTCAGAGGCACGCTCGTATCGAGTCGTTTGTCGTCTTCGTACCCTTCTCAGCGATGTAGCTCCACTCGTTCGAGATAAGACCCCACATGAGACCGACGGCGAGGATGCCCGAGCACTAGAGGATGCAATGAGCACACGCAGAGATGGATTGTCGTACCATGTACCACTGGAAGACCATGCCGTCGTAGGTCGGGTACTGCTTGGCAGGGACGTACGTCGTTCCGAAGAAGACGACGGCGAGGACGACGCCGAGGCAGCCGAGGTACGGGTTGGTGGTCGTCATACGGTGCCAAATAAGAAGTGAGACAGAAGTTCCGAAAATGAAAAAACGGTTCGTTTTCCAATAACTAACTATCAGAAGGGCACTGGCGCCACTGGCAAAGACTTGTTTCGTGGCCAAACTGCAAGCGTGTGCAATACTTGCCGTTGATTTACGTGGATTTGTGCAGTGCGCAGCTGTCGATCAACTTCAACGTCGCCATGGGATTCCTGCCAGAAATTAGCAGCGTATTTGTATGCCCGACCGTGCGTGCTCGAAAAATCAACCACCTGGGCAGGCATAAATCCAGTGGCTGGGTGCGCCGTTGGCTGCATATTCAGTACTCGCACTTTCCCAGCTCTGCCGTGTGCGACCGCGCGTACGTCAGGTCGTCGTCGGACGGCCCCGCTTGTGGTGCACACCTTGACACCGTGCGCCACCATGCTGCGTCAACAAGTCGTCGTCCGACCTCGTACGTCGAAAGAACGGCGTTGCTTCTTGCTTTTGATCCCCTCGCACCGCCTCTTGCAAGGGAAAAGCATGCTATCTGTTCTCAGGTAGGGCGATATACGTGCAGCGAGAGCGGTGGGCGACTCGTGCTTCTGTCCCCCCTTTGGATTCAACGTGATGGTTCAGCGATGGTAGTGGAGCTGGCTGCGGTGCGCATCGTCTTTGCGTCGTAATACGTGTCGCGCTTGAAGAAGCACGCATCTTGAGGTCGCACGACGGCTTGCCTTCTTGCTACTTGCCGTCTTGCCGTCTTGACGTAGTAGTACTCGTTCGAGAAGCGATGGCGGGTACTACGTCCTACGGCAGCGGCAGCCCGCGGTGCATTAAGCCTAGAAACTTCAGACAGGATGCAAACCAAACACTTTGCGCTGAGGACAAACGATGCGGGGCGTCCTTTGTTGAACCTCGCCATGTTCCATGTGGCACCTCCGTGATGGAGCTGAGACACACCCGACAAATCCCAATGCATTTGAGACAGATATGGTAAAAACGTGACGTATCCGGATATCAACTGCAATGTGCCAATCAACCGGCCACCCACTGGATTGGGTGGATTCCTGCTGGCCGACAAAATAATGTGGGAGCGCGCGCCGGTGGCTGGCCGCGGCTTTGGCGCGCTGGCGACAGTGCCCATCCCGGCCGGGACGCTTGTGCTTCGTACGACGGCTACTGCGTCGTTGCCGCTCGACCTGGGTGCGACCTGCGCTCATTGCTTTGCCCCCGCCGCGCTGCGCTGCGCCCGCTGCAAGCTGCTCAAGTACTGCAGCCGCAACTGCCAGCGCGCCGACTGGTCGTCGCACGGACCCGAGTGCAAGTACCTCGCGCCGTACATGGCGTCGGCAGCCGGGCCGTCACCGACGCCGACTGTGTTGCTGGCGGCGCGCCTCCACTATAGCGCCATCGACCCGAGCGACTATGCGACCAACCTCGACGCGCACGCACCCGACGCGATTCAGCGCTACCGCGACATGAGTGCGCTCGTGCTGCAGATCCTTGGCGCGACCAACGTCGCAGATACGTTGCCGTCCATGCACCGCCTCCTCTTGACCTTTGCGATGCTCAACTGCAACGCGTTCACTGTCTGCTCGCCCGAGCAAGTGCCTCTCGGTATTGGCTTTTATCCATTGGCGGCGGCGTACAACCATGCGTGCGTGCCCAACTGCGTGGCGACCTTTTGCGGCCGCGACCTTTACCTGCGCGCGCTGCGACCGATCTCGCGGGGCGACGAACTCACGGTGCGTCGACGCTCCTTGAAGCTCCAGCACGACTTCAACCAGCTGCTCACCCACTGTCGGTACTAGATTGCCTACACGGAGCTGGTTGCACCCACAAGTGTGCGCCGACTCGAACTCGCAACTTCGTACTTTTTCCACTGCGACTGCGTTCGCTGCGTGGTCGTCCAAGTACACGGTAGCCATTGGTTCACTGGGTGCTGATGGCTACTTGCTTAGGGGTCGGGGTCGTGCTGGGCAAAAAAAGAACACTTGCTGGAAGGCTGTGGGTGCAGTCGACGCGGCTGCGCTGGCTGCCTTGAGCCCGATGTTGATGGGGCAACGTCCTCGTGTCCCATCTGCTTGACCGTGATTGAGCACGACAACGTGACACCCCGCCTCGTCCAACGCGCGATCCAAGCGGCTGACAGCGCGGAGCAGTTTGTGGCGCATAGAAATTGCAGGTTCACGAACGCACGGCTAGGCGCAAGGCTATACCAGAGGCGATAGCATGTCGGCAACGCGCCTATGCACTGACGCAGGTCCGTTCTCTCGTGCTCTTTATTAGCTAAAAGTACTTGGTATGATCGTTCGGATCGACTAGGCGTCGTACCACAAATACCACGCGGACAATATCGCAGGCGCTGAGACGCTCGCCAACTTGATCATGAGTGCCGAGGTGCGATGGAACCTTCTCGGCTAGCTTTGGCTCCTTGTCGATGTATATTCTGTGGTAGAATGCAGCGTTTCGAGACGCAGCTCAGACGTCATTGGCACTCACATTGTACGCGACAGCGCTCGACGGGCTTACATGGCTTTATGGCCCGGAGCTCGCACCATTGCGGGGTCTCACGACTCTCAAGTATGCGCAAGCGCTGCATCTCGCCAACCCCAATGCAAAGGACGAGGCGCTGCGGCTGGTCCAAGAAGCTTGTTCCTTGTACGTTGATGATTTAAGAGTCTAAATCGCGTCGTGATGCCACGTTGTGCGGTAGGCTCGCGACGACACACGGAGACGATAGCTCTGTCGTGGCGACAGCAATTGCGCTCCTTTATGATCTGCAGCGTGTAGAGTCGTAGCGTCTCATGCGCTTGATATATACTATTGTGCGGCGACGAGGACAAGTGCATTTAAGATCTGAGTGGCAGGAATTGCACTAAATCGTACATTCCGTTCAAAAATAGGTGCGATCTCGCAATGTGATTGGCGGTTGGACCAACGTGTGGCCAATCAAACGCGCGCGAGACGAATCGAAACCAATCTTGTCGGGCATGTCGGTGGACTCGACCAACCCGACGCCAGGGTCGCCCAACTCGGTCTTCTTGACCGAGACCAAGCTCCGAGGGTACGCATACAGCGCCGCCCTCTCCTCGTCGCTGACTGTCTTCTTGCAGCCATGATTTTCCCACGAAAGAGCTCGCGGAGCTCGAGCCGCTCGTCTCGGGCGTCTCGCTGGTTTGTCGTCTTGCTTGTGCCATTTCGCGGCTCATGAGGCTGCGCGTAGATGTCGCAGTCAACGCTACTGCTCAAGAAGCGCAAGGAGCTCCGCGAAGTCAACGACGCGCTCGAATTTATGAAGGAGGAGTACGCGCAGCGCGTCGAGTCATGTGCCGAGCGCCAGCGCGAGTTTGAGCGCAAGCAGCAAGAAATGCGGGATCAAGTGAGCAAGTTTGAAAAGTTTATCAAAGAGAACGACTCGAAGCGGACGCGCGCCGAGCTCAAGGCCAAGACCGAGCACCGATCGAGCGAGCAAAACGACGTGCGCAAGAAGCAGCTGTTTGCGCAGTATGAGAAGGACGTCTCGCAGCGGGAGGCGCTGGAGAAGAAGCGCGACCAGCTACTCAAGTACCGCACGTACTTGGACAGCGCGGTCGAGGCGTCCGAGCAAGAGTACGAAGAGATTGCCGACATTCTGAACCGGTATGCGACCTTGGTCGACGCCAACAAGGACCTCCAGGTGCAGGTGCAGAGCGCCGAGTCGCAGGTACCTTATCCCCGCCAAGAGGATCAAATGTGATGATAAACTTGGGACTAGATTGACCGACTGCGGCAAGAGCTGCGCACGTTCAAAACCGAAATGGAAAACAACATTTTGGTGCAAAACAGCGAAATCCACGGGTAGATGTGGGACCACACACAAATTTTGACAATCGACCGTAGGCACCAGCAACATTTGGAACGCATTCGCGGCGAGACCTTCCAGCTCGACTTGGACCGTGGCCGCGACGATCGCACGTACAACGACCGGTCGCGCGAGTCGGGGCAGATCATTTTGGCGATCAAGAACCTCTACAACCGGTGTCGCACAAGCTTGGGCGGCAAAATTCCGCCCGTGACGGACCAGTCGTCCGACACGATGGTGTACATGAGCAACGTGCTCAAGGTCGTCGCTGAGCGCATCGTCGATCTCGAGTACATCACGGCTGCGTACGAGCCCAATAACCCGGTCGAGACCAATGCCAGCGCCGCCAAGGCGACCAAAGCGCTGGCCAAGAAAGCGGCGGCGACAACCTAGTGCATTTTTCGTTGAATAGGCTAGTGTGTTTATATCCTCATAGACAAATACGATGTAAAATCGTCGTTCAAAAGTACGAGCAGTCCCATGCATTGAATTGAATGGCAGAATAGCACTTGGATCGAGCAGCCCGTGGTGGAGGCCGCATGTCGAGTTTGAGACGAAGCACGAGTGAACGACCGGTAGCACATGGGTCGGACACGTCTCCATGGATCATTCGGTCTTCTCTTCTTTGATTGTATTCGGGCTGTTTGTTTCCGTAGCTCCCAAAGATGAAGAAGACGCGCCTGTCGCTTACGTCAATACGTTCCAGGCTCGTGGCATCCCCACCAGGAATGTCAAATCGCTCAAAGGTAACGTATCGAGCGTTTCTGTGGCGCCAAACGGGCTCGAAGCGGTGGCCGTTGCAGTTCCGTGTTTCGCCACCAAACAACGTCACGATGGCTCGCTTGGACCTCGTACGGGAACGCCTCGGAGCTCTCTACTTCCTCGGCAGTGTCGCGCTGAGCCTTCTCGCCTTGTCGGCCATGCAGCCGTACCTCGAGAACGACTACCTCTGGCCGAGCTTTGCGACGAGCCTCGTCTCGACCGCGCTCGTGCAGATATTCAATGCGCAGTTATCGCTCATGGCCGCCAACGCTACGTTCGACCTCTTGAACCCAATCAATGTCGTGCTGTTGCCGTCAAGAGACGTTCGCATCGGGGCAGCGTACGCCCGGCGCATCGTCCATGAAGAGCTCAAAGCGCCCGCCGATGCAATTGCAAGTCTCCGGTCGTACGACGTGGCGGACCTCACGTACCTTATGAGTGGGTACTGCTGGGCCGACTTGCGCCAGCGCTACAGCCTCGCTCACACGGCCGTGCGCGCAACGCGGTGCGCCACAAGGTATGGGGCAAATGGCGCCGTGTACCTCGAAGCGATCCTGCGCAATGTCAACTTTGCCGTTTGGTACGATGCGTTTGGGAGCCAGTTTGACCTGCACATTGCACAGCCGATTGCAAAGGACTTTGCGGACGGTCCTGCGTGGGTCGAAGCACTGCATGCCCACGCGCCGCTTGCGATTTTAGACGAAGTCGACGTCTGGTCGTCGTACCAGATCTGGATCTTTCAGCTCCAGTACGCCAACCGCGTCCAGACAGGACTGCTCGAGACCATTGGCATTGGCAACGCTTTGGGGCAGACCCCACGCTTGGCACTAAAAACAATTCCGAGCGTCCGCCGTGGATCGTTCTGGACAACAATCTACCTGTTTGCGGGCCTTCAGACCGATTTTGCGTCCCTCCAGCCCAACCAGAGTCTCGTGCGCAATAGCTCCGCGTTTTTTGGCCATTCGCATCCCAACCAACTCGAAGACTACAACAACGGCGTACCCCTCAACCTCATTAGCACCGTGCTGCACGCCGAGCTCGGGCAGCTCACGTCCATCGACTTGATGTGGCTGCCGGTGCCATCACCGCTGCGCGCCGCCGTGCAAGACTTTCATGTCGCGGTTCAAACAGCCCTCGCTTCGAACCCTGCCTTCCCAACGCTACTTGCGGCCCTTCCGACACTCACAATGACATTGACACCCGAGCCGTGGAAAGAGCTGAGCTACCGCTTCTATGGCGGCAACCCCATGTGTTCGTTTGGTGCACCGCTTCCGTTCGTGCAAGAATCGTTTGGTTTTGACGATGTTTGCGCGGCCCAGCGACCACTCACGCTGACGTTCGCACCACTGTCGAGTCTCTTTGCCATGGCGGTGACGCCGACGGCGTATGGCCCGTCGATCTGCCGCCAAGTCGCACATACAGAAGAGAGCTTGTGCTCGAGTGCATTCACGGCCTTGTCGGCTGCGTTTGCCGAGCTCAGCTACGTGGTCAAGCCCGCGCCGATCGCGTCGTCTCTCGGTCTCATGCAGTTTCTCAGCGTCAACAGCAGTCAACCGACGATCGAGGTACTGCCGCTGCTTGACCCGTCCTTTGCCTTCTTTGGCGGCATCTACCTCTACGACTGGGTTCACGATGATCGAGAAGCTGTCGCTTTCCAAGGCGACGCGACAACGTTGACCCTCATCTCCAAGCAGTACGCGCGTCAAATGTTATCGCCAACACCGATCTCGACCGACTTGAGTGCGTACCTCTATCGCTGCGCTGCCATCACGACGATCGGTGTACTTGTTGTCGCTAGCGTGCTCTTTTTGCTCGGGCTCTACCATCGACCTTTGCACACCGAGTGGTTTTACTTGCATCGGCTTTTGGGACCTGTGTGGTTGAGCCGCAGTATCCTCGCGGGCCGCAGCGTCGCTGCGACCATTGGCTTGGCGACGACCGACGTTGTTGTTCAGAGCCAGTTGTCGATGACGCACGCACTGCACGCCTCGACCAAGTCGCTCGTCACGACGTGTCTCCTCGCGGGCGAAGTGCTTTGGCTGACCTATTTGGCACATGACATTTTGCACCCGGTGCTGCAAAAGAGGACGCATCAGTACGCGTCTCTGACCTCGCTCGTCGCTTGGCTCCTACTCGTTGGCTCCACGCAGCTCGCGCCGCTTCCATTCCGCTCGGGCTTGCGCCGCGAGTGCTTGGCTATCAATGTGGATGAAATGGTCTACTGTAACAGCGGCACTGTCGACGTTGGCACCGTTCAACGGACACTTTTCCTTGTATTTTTGCCCATCAGTGTCGTCGCGAGCGGCGCGCTTCTCGCTCTGTGCTGTAAATCCCAGAAAATTCCGATCGTGCCACTTGGGATGCCCAGCGCTCGACTAGTCCCGTCGCTCGTGCTACCCGTGGCCGCCGTCGCCTTCCTCCACGAGCGCCAGCCCAACATTGCCCACACGGCTTTGGATGCGCTCACCTCAGCGTGCTGCGGACTCTTTCATTTTGAGTTTCGAGGCAAGATGTACCTCTTCGATATGAAATCATGGCTCCTCGTCCCGTCCGCGTCCTTTGGCTTTGCGACGCCGGTGCTGCACCGGCGCACGACGACAACGTCGCTTGTTTTGCCGCATGTCCAGACTCATGCAACACCGTCCACCCATTCTCCGCCACCGACGCGCTCGAAGGCGTGGATCGCTCGCACGTACCAGAGCGTTCGCCGATACATGGGCATTCCGAGTCTCCTGCTCTCACTTTTTAGCAATGTGGCCTACTTGGGCGTTGCGCAGTCGAATCTCGCCAACGACTATGGCTGGGCGGGCTTCAACGCCACGGGCACGTACGCTTTTCTCGGGAATCTCTTCAATCGACGGCTCCTGACCCACTCGTTTGACGATGGATTCATGCTGAACGACCCCGCTTTTGCCGACACTTCGCAGCTATACAACCTCAGCGTTGGCGCCATTCGCGTCAGTGGCCACGCCGCGCGGCGACAGCTCTTCTCGCCTGACGTTGCACTGGAAGACGTCGTCGCCAACCTCCGGCGCATGGATCCGTGCCGCTTGCCGTGGATGTTTACGCAATACTGCTTTGTCGACCTTGGTCGGCGCTGGTCGCTCGCGAGCTCGTCTGCGCGGGAAGCGCGGTGCCGCTCGCGGTATGTGTCGAATGGCGCCGTTTATTTGGAGACGAGCCTTGGCAACGTCATGCGCTGGGACGACTGGACGCAGTGCTGGGGCACGTCGTTTGAGGTGGGCATTGCGACGGCGCTCGCCACGTCGGTCGATGGCCGCGACTGGCTCCGTGCGATTCAAAGCAATGCGAGAAGTTGCGTCGACGAAGCGGCCTACTGGCGCCAGGCCGGCGTCGCTGGGTTCACGCTGCAGTGGCAAAACTTCAAGACGACGGGCTTCTCGGATGCGTTCTACATTGAGAATGCACTGGGATTGCAGTATGCGCTGCCGCTGAGCAATACGCCAGGCGCGTACCACCTCACGCAGCAAAACTCGATGCGCATGTACTGGAGCTTTGCCAGCGACCTCTGGGCCATTTCGACTAACGCGACACTGCTCGGGAGGGCCAGCCTCGTGCGCCAGAGTCCGATGTTCGCCTACGCCAACACGACGCCGATTGCGGTGTTGTTCCAGAACCTGACGCTCGTGCCGCCGTTGAACGCAGGCCTCGTGAGCTTGGAAACGCATCTTGGACCATTTGGCAATGTCGACATGATCTATGTGCCGGTGCCGTCGTCGCTCTCGGCGCTCTACGCCAACTTTACGGGCAGCCTCGCGCGTCTCTTGGTCGCCAACGAAAGCGCAGCGATTTTGTTTTCGAACCTTCCAGCTCGACCCTACATTATTGAAGTGCCGGGGAGTCTCTTGGCGCAGAGCAAGGAGCTCATGTCCATGGGGGGACGTCTCATGTGTGGGAATGACGCGCCGCCGTATCCGTTCATGTATGGGATCGCTACGCTCTTCGGTACCTCCAGCATGTGCTACGCCTTGTTTCCTGAGCTGATGCAGCCCACGTCTTCACAGCTCCTCTTTGCGTTACTGGGCTACAGCGCACACGTCGGGGTGCTTGATATGGACGCGATCTGCAGCCTGGACACCTCCGCGACAGCTTCGTGCGCAAGCGACTATTTAGAGACCTGGGGGCTTCTAGCCACTTATCCCGAAGTGTTTGACCCGCTTCACGCAGCTGCCACACTCGTGTACGATCTTGTCGACGCGCACAACGTGTCTCTCGTCCAGTACCTCCAAAACGCCACATCGGGTGAAGTCTTTCTATTTGCAATCAACATTCTCGCACCCGAAGTCGGTTGGCCATACTACGGCTGGTGCCTCCTCTATGAATGGGCGACCGGTGTCCGTGAAGTTGTCATGTACGAGGGTGACGTCGGCCGCATCACGGCCCTCTCAGCACCGCTGCCGTTCGACTCAATCTCACCGAGCCCCGACGCGATTGCACATAGTCTCTCGCTCGTGTGCCAAGGGTGCGTCCAGTACATTACGGTGGTGCTCATTGCGCTAGCGTCGGGTGCGATATTGACGGCACTCTGGCACCGCGGTTTTGTCGAGACGGTCAATCTCATGGTCTTGACGCGTCTCGGCGGCTTGGTCTGGATCGGACGGCCATTCTTGCTCGTTCGCAGTCTCACGGCCGTGTGGCTCCTCAACACGAGCCCTCTCTTCCTCGTGCAGACCCACGGGCATTTCACGCGGTTTGAGTCCCCGCATTTGGTGTGGTACAACACGGTCCTTGCCGCGTCCGAGCTAACGTGGAGTGTTTTTATCCTCAACGACGTATTCAGCTGCGTCACGCAAGAGTATACGGCGCTCTACTCGTCCCACAGCACGAATGCAGCGTGGCTCGCAGCGATTCTTTGGACGGTCCAGTGGCCACAACAGCATGTGGCACGTCTACACCGATCGTGCACTGCGATTGATATGGACTTTGCCATCGACTGTCGTAGCGGCAGTGTTCAGATCGGCAATGTCACCCGGATGTTTGTCGGCTACGGCATCGGCGCGATCGCTGCGTTGGTCTCGTACACGGTTGCCCGGCTCGTGCACCCACGGGTTGTTCCCAACCACGCAAACTCGCTCCTCTTGAATGCGCAATGCATGTTCATGCTCCACAGTGCACACCATGAAGGTGGCGTGTTTTTAGACAAGATGTCGGCGCTGATTGCAGGCGTCGTGTCATGGGAACACAGCGGCGTGCTACATCTGCTGGACGTCAAGACGTGGCGGTACCTCCGCGTGGAGCGTGACGGAAAACACGCAACCTTGCCGGCCCGCGTGCGCGGCGCCATTCCGCTCGCAAGCGTCTAGTCTAGTAAGCTGAGTCAATCTCATAGTAAATAAATTCCAATACACTTCTGCGATGGGCGAAGCGAAGTGCACGCTATACAATGTGGACTTTATGATGTAGCCTAGGTAATAATTCATGTTTGCCCGGGCAGCCGCAATATCAAAACTTAAAATGCGGGAAAATGTCGCTGAAAATGGTGGATGAGCATGTCGAGCGGAATCTCCACCAAAGAAAAACTCCTTGCGGTTGTCGTCATAGATCACAAGTCTTGCGCGCCCCACGATCTGCGATATGAATGCACCAAAACATTTTAGCATTGTCCTCCATATCCTTGACTATGAAATGCCTCCGAGTTTAGCTCTAAGATCTCAGTCAAGAGTGAGTTCTCTCCACAATCAGCTATAAATAAGATAGCTATCCTGCCAGTACTGCGCATACATTATTGTGCATACGATGCCTGGTTGTGTGGCCTGTCACACAGATAGCTTGCTGCTTGATCGCGAAGGGAAACAAGTCAAAAGCAGGCAGTCGCTCTTCACTTCTCCCTCCCAACGGTAATCAACCGGCTGCACCTAGTAGGCGCACAAGGTGCGCCAAGCATCGCGTCACTGGAATAGATGGCAAGCTTGCACGATGCACAACCGAAGATTATGAGACAATGTTGGTCTTTGGAGGCGTCGACAGACCATTTTTTTACGCATCTTTTTCAGAGATCAACCATACAGACGTCGTATTCAAACAGCTGGGTCGCTAGAATCTCCGTCTCGAAGCCCTACGATCGACCGTCGAGCCAACGCACCATAAATCAATTTGTCTTTGCTTCCATATATCTGCTACAATGCGCGTCCTGCTTTCGTTGACAACACTTCTCGGCCTTGCGATGGCCGACATCTACACCGGCAAGGCCTCGCTCAACGGCCCCGCCGACGGCATGGATCCGTCGAGTGGCAACTGCGGCCTCATGGACGCCCTCCCGACCGCGCGCCAATTCCAAGTCGCCATGAACCTCGACCAGTACC